GCATGCGAGAGAACATGAGGATTCTAACTATTCTGCAGTAGCAGGGCTGCTGTGTTCAGTGTGCTGGGGCAGCTCTGGTTTCCGGCTAAAGGCATCTCCCACCCAGGAAGCCCTGAGTGGAGGAGGGGGTCTCATGCCCAGGCCTGTTCAATCACAATTCTTCATCCCCTTGTTTATAAGAAGGTACAAGGTGTTAGCATGTCAGTAAGAGTCCTGTCCTGGGACTTCACTCTTGGCTCAGTGGTAAAGAAACCACCTGTCAACGCAGGAGACATGAGGTCGATCCCTGATCCTAGAAGATCCCCAACTCCAAGGAGGAATTAAGCCCGTGTACCACAACTATTGGGCCTGAGCTCTAGAGTCTGGGCGTGGCACCTACTGAAGTCCATGTGCCCCAGAGCCTGTACTCTGCAATAGAAGAAGCCACTTCAATGGGAAGTCAGTGACCCAAAACTAGAGAGTAGGCCCGCTTGTTGCAACTGGAGAAAAGTCAGTGCAGCTGTGAAGACCCAGCAGAGCCAAAAATTAATTAAAAAAAAAAAAGATTCCTGCCCTTGATTGACTTATAGATAGAGGGAGACGGAAGTCCTTACTGAGGCAGGAGATAGATGGACCCCAGACTGAACAGCTGATGTCTCTTCCGAGAGGAGGTGGAGCCCTACTCAGATAAGAGATAAAAGACTACATATTCCTCATTCTTGAAGTCAAGGAGACCTTCCTGACTACATATGTACAGAAAGGCTCCCTGGAGGTCAAAAAGGGAGGGGGCATCACCCCATAGTAAGTAATGTCAACTACCCATGGGCCTCTTGTCTAGAAGGCATCTTGGCTAAAAGATGTGGTGTACACATGGAAGGACCCCGAGATAAACCAAATAGACTCAGAATCAGGCAAAGCAAGATGACTGGCCAAAGGAAACCCAGAAGAAATGCCCCATATAAATGATTCAAACCACCACGAGGGCATGATTCTCTTTGAGCCTACCCATGTGTCCATGCACACACACTGTACTCTTTTTCCCTCTAATAAACACTTTTCTTGCTTCACTACTTTCTGTCTCTATGACGAAATTCATTTCTACACAGCTGATGGGCCAGGACCTTTTCACTGGCCACTGGTCCCTGGAGGTCTAGTGGCTAGGATTCAGGGCTCTCATTGTCATGGGTCAACTTCAATCTCTGGCCAGGAACTGAAACCCTGCTTCAAGCCACTGCAGGTCGAGGCCACCCAAGATCATTTCCACTCTGAGGTGGGATGGTAATCATAATACTAGCTGTCATTATTGTTCCGTGTGAATAGTTTCTATGTATGAGGTACTGACCTAAGCACATTCACATATCAACACATTTAATCCCAAAGCAAGCCCAGGAGTTCAGTGGTATTTCTACTCACATTTCAAAGACAAAGAAACCAAAACACAGAGGTTTGAATCAGGCAGCTCTGGGGTAGTAATTTTCTCTGATGCCTGGAGAGAGTTTGGTGTGGAATGAAGCCAAATAAAGACAATTTGAGGCAAAGAAAGGAGATAAGGGATGAATCTAACAGCATCATGTCCTGCATTTCAAGAGGGATTCTTGAGAGAAAGAAGTGTTTGCACTTTTTCCTTGGTTTCAAGGAATGACTTTAGTCCCTTTCCCAGACAGCTGAACAGAAGCAATTGTCTTCTATTTAAGGGAAAGTTTGCTTTCTACCAATTATAGCGAGATAGTTATGATACCATATAGATGATGTAAATTTTCTCAAGGACCTGAGTGGGATTCTTATTTAGTAAGCTAAATAAATTAGGTTTGTTATTTATTTCTGTTTATATTTTCCAACATACTTCTAATTCATTCAATAAATCTACTAGTAAATAAACAAACTAGGTTTCAGAAACATCACTACTAATCTTCCCATATATCCATTTTGGTGGTGGATAATGACATGATTGGGCTTCCCTGGTAGCTCAGCTGGTAAAGAATCTGTCTGCAATGCAGGAGACCCCAGTTCGATTCCTGGGTCGGGAAGATCCCTTGGAGAAGGGAAAGGCTACCCACTCTAGTATTCTTGGGCTTCTCTGGTGGCTCAGATGGTAAAGAATCTACCTGCAATGCAGGAGAACTGGGTTCGATCCCTGGGTTGGGAAGATCCCCTGGAGGAGGGCATGGCAACCCACTCCAGTATTCTTGCCTGGAGAATCGGGAAGATCCCCTGGAGAAGGGAAAGGCTACCCACTCTAGTATTCTTGGGCTTCTCTGGTGGCTCAGATGGTAAAGAATCTGCCTGCAATGCGGGAGACCTGGGTTCCATCCCTGGGTTGGGAAGATCCCCTGGAGGAGGGCATGGCAACCCACTCCAGTGTTCTTGCCTGGAGAACCCCCATGGACAGAGGAGCCTGGAGGGCTGCAGTCCATGGGGTCGCAAAGAGTCAGACATGACTGAGCGACGAAGCACAATGACATGACTATTAGTATATGAGCTGCTCTCATAGCCTTACTAACTTAAAACATTTTTCTTTATTGAATTATAATTGATTTCCAGTGTTGTGCTAATTTCTGCTATACAGCAAAGTGACTCACTTATACATACGTGTGTTCTTTTTCATATTCTTTCCCATGATGGTTTACCACAGGGGAACTGAATATAGCTCCCTATGCTGTACAATAGAACTTTGCTGTTTATATACTCATGCGCTTTGATACAACTTACAACTAAACTATTAGAAAATCAAGTCACTTAGGGTCAGCATGTATTCTGTGAGGTTTTCAAATTATAGATGACCAAGGCCGATCAAAAGAAGCTAACGTTGCATGGGGATTTTTAATTTTGTTGTTGTTGGTGTTGTCTGTTTGGGCCCACTGAGAGGCGTGTGGGATCGTATTTCCCCGACCAGGGAGTGAACCTGTGCCCTCTGCAGTTGAAACACGGAATCTTAACCAGTGGACTGCCACAGAAGTCCCTGATGAGAATTTTTAAAAGCGTGTGCTTGTGGATGACCCCCCTCTTAGGGCCCCAGAATCTCGAACTGGAAAGAGCTGCTACGTCCAGGTGAAGAAAGGCTGAAGGGAGTCAATTTGCTCCAGGATCCAGAAATAGGGGTAAAGAGCTAGACCCTGCCATCCTTTCGGCTCCTCCCTTCTGCTGATGGCTTGCCGCCCACACTGTGGGAGCCTTCCGTGGGGGCCTGGCGCAGGGAAGGCCTCCGCTGTCCCCTCCTGGAGTCGTCACACAGCCGCCTGCGGCAGGAAGAGCAGGGACCCCCAGCACATCTCCCCCACAGCCATTCCTCTCAGCCTCTCCTGCATAAATCCTCAGGCAGAGCTGTTTGGGGGCAGTGTCGGTCTGTGAGTAAGCAGCAGGCTGCCGCTCTGGGCGGCTCAGAGATCAGACCACACGCCAGCGAGTCACACACGGGGTTTCCTCCAAGGCCGACTTGTCGTGTCTCAGTCATCCAGGCACGAGGCCCCAGAAGCCTTCAGAGACCCTGCGCGCGTGCGTGGGTGCTTGTCGAAAAAAATCTGTCAAAGTGGGGAAGTTTCAGGAAAGCTAATTAAGTCACTGACAGCAGGATTCAACGAAAGGGGAGCCATGACAGCCCTCGTAAATCCATGATGAGTCATCGTTGCCTTAAGCGGGTGTATGAATATGAAGGCACAGTTACTGAGAACCACTCATTGGCCTCAGCTCTCTCCCCGCAGGTCAAAGCTGAAGCTTCTTATAAAAGCAGACACACACCCAGGTCCCTCTCTGAAGCCTGTGGAGAGACTACTATCTTAATTTGCTTACTGAACAATTAAGAACTTCCCCACATAGAATCGGTGGAGCTTTATATCATATATTTTTGTACGTCCCAATTTTGAAAGCATTGATGATAGAAATGAGTATTGTCTGTGAAAAAAAAAAAATCCTACCAGATGTGTAAGTATTTTGTAGCATAGCAAGCCTATAATCTCTGTTTAAGGAAAAGGTCTGTGCCCTGGAAGAATTTCATTTAGCAAAGTTGCATCTCATTTTATATACGATTCACACATTTGCAGAGTTGTTCGAAAATTGGGTTCTGGTAAACAAAATTGTATTGGAAATTCACAAATGTTTATTCTCTGATGAGAACTTGCACTGCATCACTCAGCAAAGTCAGCCCATTTATCCTTGTGAAATATATTTTTTTTTAATTCCAAATTTCTGAGTTTCCCTGGTGGTCTAGTCATTAAGAGTCTGTTTGCTGATGGAGGAGACATGGGTTCCATCCCTGGTCTGGGAGGATCCCACATGCCAGACAGCAACTAAGTCCAAGTGCCACAACTACTGCGTCAACACCCCAGAGCCCGCAGGCCCTAGAGCCCATGCTCTGCAACAAGAGAAGCCACTGCAATAAGTCTGCACACGGCAATGAAGAGTGGCCTCTATTTGCCACAACTAGAGAAAGCCCTCACACAGCAACAGAGACCCAGTGCAGCCATAAATAAATCTTTTTCAAAAAATTCCAAATTTCTGTGATTTATATCTCAGATCTTCACTCGTTTTATGAAATCCAGCAATCTGGAAGCTGTGTTGAAATGAATCAAACTAGAAAATTCCCTTTTTCAATGATGGTGTTAACTCTTCTCACCAAAATCCAGGCCTCCCAAATGAGACACAAAATGAAATAACAACCATCACCAAACAAAATCCAAGAGGAAGTGCAAATGAAATTATTTAATTAATTGAAGACATGAAATTTAGTAGGTTATATATTCTGTTCCTCTTTCCAGCTTCATACTAAAACAATAAAGAGAACTCTGATTCAGGAAAGTCATGGACAGACCAAGGTAAATAGGCTGGCCATCAATTATTATCATGTAAATTAGGCACTTGTGGGGAGCTGGGTTCACTTACTTAGGCAATCAGTTTACGATGCTTTAGGACTATGATTCTCAACCCTGGTTGTACATTAGAGTCACCTGGGGACCCTTTGAAATGCACTGATGCCTGGACCCACCCTAGAATTAGAACTACAGGGGGATGGGGCCTTGGCAACCGGAATGTTGTTAAAGTTCCCCAGGCGATTTTAATGTGCAGTCAGGGATGAGAACCACTGATTTAAGAAATCAGCACCTGAAAATCGAGCTTAAGTAGCATAGCAACATCCCTGTACCCTCCGGGGCAGTATTTCTCAAAAAAGGAGGATGTGGACCATCTAAACTGCTGGGTAAAAATGCAGGTTTCTGGGAATCTCTACCCCCACCCCTGGGTATTTGCAGTCTGAATGCACTCTTTAGGCAATCCTTTCGTACTGTAAATCCTGAGTCTACTGCCTTTAGGGTATTCAATTTTGAGGTATTACTGAAAACTTTGGAAATGCTTGTAAAGTCACCCAGCTTTTGCCTGCTTCAAACATGCTACTTCCCAAATTGGTCGCGTGAGTCATTATGAGGTGACATTTTGCCTCCCAAATCTTCTGTAGCAAATGATTCTCCCCCTCTCAATAAGAATCTCTTTCTCCAGAAATGTTGTGACCCTCCTGTTTATCAGAATTTATCCATGCTCTATTCTCTTGCCCAGAGGTCTATCATTGGTCATCAGGTTGAAGAATTAATATATACGAGGTGGACTGGAGCAAAACCCTGTAGGGCCTCCTCCTAACCAAGTACCAAACCGAATAGTTAATGATTAGGACAATAGAGTCATAGACTCAGAGTCTGATGCGTATTTCTGAATTGTTTTACAGATATTCTTACAATGGTCCCGGGAAGAAGACATGACAATCTGACTGCAGCCATGATATAAGCTGCTCCATGTTGAGCAGTACTGAATGTGTGGCTAGCACAATCCCAAGAACTGGCCTCAAGGGAATGGCATTAACATTACTACTCTATATCTTTGTAGGTATCATCATAATTGTAGCTTGCTCTGTCTGTATGTGTAAGGGGGCAACGAAAACAGTCAGCAAAGAGATGCTCTAGACCCATGTTGACATAGTCCACTCTGAGAATACAGTGCCCTGTCTCAGGATGAAGTCACAGAAGATAGAACGTCACCCCTAATCCCACAGAAATGGACTGATGTTCTGACAAGTGGGGATTTGTCAGCAGCTCTATGCAGGAAACCAGCCTCAGCAGGAAGCCCCTTTTCTTGTTTAAGAAAGGTATATTGTAACTAACTTTTAAAGCAAGCACGCCCATGCTCTACTCCTCTCCAGCCCAAGCACATCTTTCAAATCTTTTGATCACTCAATACCTGGCCTAACTTGTTGGTTCTTTCCTTAGATCAAAGAAACAGAAATAAAGAATAAGTAATTAACAGATGACCAGGTCTCTCCCTTAGCTTCCCCTTCAGTAATCTCCTGAACAAACTGTGTGATCAGACTGTGAATAAGATAAGATCTAGAGGCCGATCACAGGCCTGCTCACAGCAGGGGACAAGGACTCTGAACCTCTGTGTCAATGATTATCTGACATTAAAAGCTTTCAAGACTGAACAGAATCTTCTGAGACAGTTTTTTGGGGGATGCTACGTCTACCATCTTCCCAGATTGCTGCTATTCTTGAAATAAGAGGGAAGGGGGCAGGGCACAACATTTAAAAGAATGACACTATGCTAGGACATGAAAAAAGCTGTTTAGAACCAGCAAGGTCCAAGATGGCTGAAGATTTAACTTCCAGTGGAACTTCAGTCTCATTAAATGCTCACTGTAACGTGTGAGCAAGCTAAATGACATACCCACAGATGCCAAGACAGATCCAAGACAGACCACAAAGGTGAAAAAGTGGGATTCCCAATTCCTGGAAATCCCCATCCCCTTTCCCAAAATAGCTAGAATATTCCTCCCACTCATTAGCCTATGAAATTACCCAGCCCATAAAAATTAACCACATCATACTTCAAGGTCTCTCACTTTCTGAGATGGCCCACACCCTGTGGAGTATTTCTCTCTAAATAAATCTACTTCTTACCTGTCACTTTGTCTCTCACTGAATTCTTTCTGCAACGAGACATTAAGAACCTGAGACCAGGTACGACATCAACTAAAAGACGGTGGATTCCAGTCTCAATCAGAGGTGTACAGCTACATTGTTGATTAAAGGCATCTTTCTTTTCTCCTGACATTTGTGAGTATGTAATTGAGTTTGTAAGTGGCAAGTATAGGGAATACTGTCTTCTTCTTCCCACATAGGTAAATTTTTGAAGCTGCCATTAATGATTTAACTCAAATGGAGGGCCATCTGATACCCACTAGGCACACCAGGTGGATGGCCACCTACCCAACCACAGATCATCACCCTGCTTCTGCTGGAATAGGGTACTATCTCTGGGCCGTTTCCATGTTTTCACCTCCTACAAATATATGGATTATCTCAAAACACAGTCCTCTGTAGGAGGGTCAGTCAAACCACTGGCATGGTGGGTAAACTGATGCTTTTAGGACAATAAAGGTGCTTTCTAAAAAGCAACTTGCAGAAAAGTAACCCTTAGATAGGTTTGAGAGCAATTCAAATTCATCTCAAAGACAAAATGTTCTTTGTTAAAGGGAAATCAATTCTTTTAGTACATTACTTCCTAAATGACTTCTGTAAGATAACTCAGGATCTATAAAGACTCAGCATTTGCACAGGCTAAATAAATCCAATATTTTAGTTCATTTATTTTGGCATTTAATCTATATTTTTCAAAATATTTCTTCTAAGAACTGGGTTTTGGGGCTGATAGGCTAGATTTTTTTCCCCCTGCTTTCTATATAACATAGGATTAGCTAGTAAATACAAATTATAAATCAAATGAAAATCAAATTAAATAATTTCATTTGGGTGAAGTGAATATGGAGGAGGAACATGACACAGGGCTGGTAGTAACAGTTACATAATAGACAGCATAGCCTGAGGTTCTTAACTCATCTCTCCTCTGAAATGTGGGCCCCTTGGTACCTGGTTATTCTTAGCTCCAGGTGACAGCATGACTGTTAGCATCATTGACACCATATTGGGCTCATACATTTTTTTCCTGTCCTTCGACTGACCTGACCCAGGACTGTACTGTGCAGTGAATCACTTCTCTGTCATCAAGGGCTTGTAGTTAATATACTGTTTAATAATCATTAGGACCAGGAGGCCTCTGTGTTCCCCAAACAATGATGAAGACCTTTGCTGACATATTCCCAGTTCCCACAAAACTAGTTCAGTTCAGTTCAGTTACTCAGTCATGTCAGACTCTTTGCAACCCCATGGACTGCAGCACACCAGGCTTCCCTGTCCATCACCAACTCCCAGAGCTTGCTCATACTCATATCCATTGAGTCGGTGATGCCATCCAACCATCTCATCCTCTGTCGTCCCCTTCTCCTCCCGCCTTCAATCTTTCCCAGCATCAGGGTCTTTTCCAGTGAGTCAGTTCTTCACATCAGGTGGCCAAAGTTTTGGAGTTTCAGCTTCAGCATCAGTCCTTCCAATGAATATTCTAATAGGTAACAAAACTAGTTACCCATCCATAAACCCTGACTTAGGAATGAGCATCCTGTTTCTCAGCACGTATCCCCTACCTTGGGTTAACTAAAAAATTGTCCCATTGGTCCCTTCATGATGCTGCCAATGCTTCTGGGTCTTCACCTGCCCAATCCCACCTTGTGAAAGTTACTCAGTCTTGTCCAACTCTTTGTGAACCCGTGGACTAGAGAGTCCATGGAATTCTCCAGGCCAGAATACTGGAGTAGGTAGCCTTTTCCTTCTCCAGGGGATCTTCTAAACCCAGAGATCGAACCCAGGTCTCTCACATTGCAGGCAGATTCTTTACCAGCTGAGCCACAGGGAAGCCCGAGGATGCTGGAGTGGGTAGCCTATCCCTTCTCCTGGGATCTTCCTGACCCAGGAATCAAAACAGGTCTCCTGCATTGCAGGTGGATTCTTTACCAACTGAGCTATCCGGGAAGCCCAAATATGCCACGAGTGAGTGAGTGAGTGAAAGTCGCTCAGTCATGTCCAACTCTTTGAGACCCCATGGACTATACAAGTCCATGGAATTCTCCAGGCCAGAACGCTGGAGTGCGTAGCCTTTCCCTTCTCCAGGGGATCTTCCCAACCCGGGGATCAAACCCAGGTTTCCTGTATTGCAGGCACATTCTTTACCAGCTGAGCCTGTGAGTATAATAAATTGATCCATTGATTCTATAGAGAAGCTTGTTTCATTTTTCGGCTTCAAGATACCATCTCAGTTCAGTGAGCACACTTCATTCCCTCCATCCTCCAACAGAGAGAAAACTGACAGAGTTAAGGCACATGCTTGGGGTTTACCATTCCTTAGAAAATTTAGATAAGACTTTACAGATGATGCAGCCAATTATTTAACTCAATGACACTTGATGCCAAAGAAGCTATAATCACAGGTTCACTTTTAGTATCCACGGATCACTTAGCTTTGTCTAAATAGAGGCCAAATATCAATATCTCATGCTGATTCCATCCAGTTCTCTTACAAAGGTGCAGTTTTATTCATAAAGCAGACTAGATAATTGACAGAAGAATCTTTGATAACATGACACTTTTCTGTAAAGATAATGATAAAGCACAAAAGGATAGCTACATAGGTTCTAGCTGTTTCTAACCAAATTCTGTTTCCAACTGTGGCATCAGTGGGTATTTTGTTCCTTCATGACATAAGCCACAATTCTTACCATAAACCCTTGGGAACTATTTTTAAATAACTGTTTTTTAAGTTTTGGAGTTAATAATATGCACACACTGTATATTTTGTAATGGCCCCAGAATGCTCTTGTAATAAAACACAGTATTTCTGAGGTAAAATATATAAATATTCACTTTAAATTGGATAAATAAATGCTATAAATAGCTTCTGGTTTGTTTAGAATGGGTTTTGCTGCTAAATGAGTTGGGCCAAACCTAGATAAAAACTTAAGAGATTTTTAGATTTGGGGTCACAAACAAGGGGTTATGAATTTATATCTGTGTACTTCTCCAAACCATTCAAAAATGAATTTATAACCTCAATTCTTACTAACTTCACTGGGAAATTTGTCTCATACATTACTGGCCTAAAACACATTCCTTTCACACTTAAAATGTTACCTCTGGTCATTTTTCCCATTGATTTGCTCACCATATTCCTGATGACTTTGTGGTTTTATTATTTCTGGTTATGGTAAGCTCTTGGCTTAGTTTCCTAAGAGGCTCAGTTTCCTCTTTTAGAAAATTGTACTTGGTCTTCTGCCTGGCACATAATGCTTGTATCATTCAGCAAGCTTCCTTTGAAACTGTAAGCAAGAGAAGCTGATTCTGACTTAAGCAAAAGGGAACTTACTGGGAGCACAGTCAGCTCTCCTTATTCATGACTTCTGTATCCATGGATTCAATAAAAAAATTTTTGAAAAAAATTCCAAAAAATAAATCTTGAATTTGCCAGGTGCCTGCAATTATTGACATAGTGTTTACATTGTATTTACACCTATTTACATGGCACTTTCATTGTATTAGGTATTATATATAATCTAGAGATGAATTAAACTATAGAGGAGGCTGTGTGTAGGTTATATGCAAATACTATGCCAATTTACACAGATTTTGGTGTCTGTAGGGTTCCTGGAACCAACCCCACCCTCAGATACCAAGGGATGTGTAATTAAAAGAACAGTTGAAGAACCAGGCTTGGAAATGGCAAGGATAAGAAAAGCTTTTGGATTGAAATTAGAGATATTTTACCTTGACTTAGCTCCACCTTTTAAAATTCTGAGTCACTTTGCTGAAGATCAAGCCCCAGGCAAGTCTGAGGGGCTGAATATGACTCAGGTGTCCACCACTTGGCTACATGACAGCCTGACATGTTGATTGACACTCCCAGCAAGCCTGAAGCCTGAGCAGGGGTGGGGAGGCACTCCCACACAGGAACTGGGGCTGCCTGTTACAAGAAAACTGCAAATGCACTCTGACGGCAAACAAAACAAACCTAAGGGAAGTCTTCTATTGATTTCAAAATACCTTCAGAGTATTCTTAATTCCTGGCTCTTTAGGGGTATGCAAAGTCCTCTTTTTTTTAGGCTGTGCTCCTACAAAACTTATTTCATCCTCATGCACAGATGAGTTGTTTCCTCTAGACTTTTCTCGGCACACGGGCTGGAGGCACTTGCTCATTAGATTTTATTCTCTCTCTTTACAATGCATGAGTTATCTTCAAAGTGATCTTTTCACAAGGAGTACTTGCAGCCAAGGCAACACTGACAGAAGGAAGCTTAATGATAGAAACCACCTCATTAATAAGAAACGCTAATCCTTCACCTGAAATCTACCTGGGAATAACAAGCATGTATCACATGGATCAAGAATCAAGAAAACGAAGAAGGCAAATGAATATGCCTTTTCCTCCTTCATTTGCTGCTTAAGTTTTTTTTAAAAAAAGAATAGTATTAAGCTCCTTAAAGCCCCATGTTTCTTTAAGTGGCTTTTTAGATGGCAAGCAGTTCTGCAAGTAGGCACTGAT